CTGAATTTTGGACGTTTTTAATTTTTCACGTTCTGACTTTTTGACCTTCTGACGTTCTAACGTTCTAATATTCGGACGTTGTAACGTTCTGATATTCTGACATTCTGAATTTCTGACGTTCTGACGTTTTTAATTTTTCACGTTCTGACTTTCTGACGTTCTAACGTTCTGATATTCTGACGTTCTAACGTTCTGACATTCTGACGTTCTAACGTTCTGACATTCTGAATTTCTGACGCTCTGACGTTTTAATTTTCACGTTCTGACTTTCTGACCTTCTGACGTTCTAACGTTCTAATATTCGGACGTTGTAACATTCTGATATTCTGACATTCTGAATTTCTGACGTTCTGACGTTTTCATTTTTCACGTTCTGACTTTCAGACCTTCTGACGTTCTAACGTTCTGATATTCTGACGTTCTAACGTTCTGACGTTCTGACGTTCTAACGTTCTGACATTTTGAATTTCTGACGTTCTGACGTTTTTTAATTTTTCACGTTCTGACATTCTGACCTTCTGACGTTCTAACGTCTGATATTCTTACGTTCTAAATTTCTGACGTTTTTGATTTTTCACGTTCGGAATACCTGACGTTCTGTTTTTTTGTACGTTCTGACTTCTGATGTTTTTACGTTGTGACGTATAGATACTGTGCAAGCGACATACTGGGCGATGTACCTTTTATGGACGTTTGGGTACTAATTTATTGCTTACATACCTCGTAACAATTATTATTTATACTAAAGGAAGTATATATAGTCCGTGGTTACAGTCATCATGAGTACGAGTACTTATTTTGTTGAGTGCAGTAGTATACTTCTTCGAGTGCTTTTTACGTTTCCTATACTTAAGACCTGGTGGAACCATCTTCTGACCACTGGTTAATTAAAAAAACAAAGATCTATTGGCACACCTATGGAAAATATGGAATTTTTTTTTTTTTATGGAAAAACGGCGCATAAATACGTATTGGTCGGTAAGATTGTATGAATATAAAGATAAAGATAAAGATATATCTTTATATCTTTATACAATCTTACCGACCAAAACGTATTTATGCGCCGTTTTTATAGGACTCGTCAACGCGTGGTCAGTTTTAGTCCAGCGTGGTCTTAAAAAATTCCATATTTTCCATAGGTGTGCCAATAGATTTTTGTTTTTTTTAATTAACCAGTGGTCAGAAGATGGTTCCACCAGGTCTTAAGTATAGGAAACGTAAAGAGCACTCGAAGAAGTATTCACTACTGCAGTCTGCACAGCAATACAAAGTAAGTACTCGTACTTAACATGATGACTGTAACCACGGAGACTATAGCGGATACATATTAATACTTCCTTTTTGATATCTTTATCTTTATATTCATACAAGCTTACCGACCAAAGCGTATTTATGCGCCGTTTTTAACTCCTCGATAACTCGTGGTCAGTTTAAGTCCAGCTTGGTCTTAAAAAATTCCATATTTTCCATAGGTGTGCCAATAGATTTTTGTTTGTTTTTAATAACCAGTGGTCAGAAGATGGTTTCACCAGGTCTTAAGTATAGGAAACGTAGAGCACTCAAAAACGTATTCACTGCACAGCAATAAAACGTGCTTTAAAACATAATGTCTGTAACCACGGAGACTATAGCGGATGCATAAATACTTGCTCTTTAGGTAAAATTATATATTATTACGTCATGCAAAAGTCCATACGTATTTCAGAGCGTCAAAACGTCAGAAATTCAATACGTGTGAACGTCAGAACGTAACACCGTCAGAACGTCATAAAGTAAGAACATCGGAACGTCAGAACGTTAGGACGTTAGAACGTCAGAACGTTAGAACGTCAGAACATCAGAACTTCAGAACGTGAAAAATTAAAATTGTCCGAACGCCGTAAATTCCAAACGTCAGCCTTTATATATTCATAATGACCTTTCCGAAACAAAGCCAATACTATCCAGTACTTAAGTGCCGAGCGCGGATGCGCGAGGCTACCTTGTATTCATACAATCTTACCGACCAAAACGTATTTATGCGCCGTTTTTATAGACTCGTCAACGCGTGGTCAGTTTTAGTCCAGCTTGGTCTTAAAAAATTCCATATTTTCCATAGGTGTGCCAATAGATCTTTGTTTTTTTTAATTAACCAGTGGTCAGAAGATGGTTCCACCAGGTCTTAAGTATAGGAAACGTAAAGAGCACTCGAAGAAGTATTCACTACTGCAGTCTGCACAGCAACACAAAGTAAGTACTCGTACTTAACATGATGACTGTAACCACGGAGACTATAGCGGATACATATTAATACTTCCTTTTTAGTATAAATAATAATTGTTACGAGGTATGTGAGCAATAAATTAGTACCCAAACGTCCATAAAAGGTACATCGCCCAGTATGTCGCTTACACAGTATCTATACGTCACAACGTAAAAACATCAGAAGTCAGAACGTCAAAAAAACAGAACGTCAGGTAATCCGAACGTGAAAAATCAAAAACGTCAGAAATTTAGAACGTAAGAATATCAGACGTTAGAACGTCAGAAGGTCAGAATGTCAGAACGTGAAAAATTAAAAAACGTTAGAACGTCAGAAATTCAAAATGTCAGAACGTTAGAACGTCAGAATGTCAGAACGTTAGAACGTCAGAATATCAGAACGTTAGAACGTCAGAAGGTCTGAAAGTCAGAACGTGAAAAATGAAAACGTCAGAAATTCAGAATGTCAGAATATCAGAACGTTACAACGTCCGAATATTAGAACGTTAGAACGTCAGAAGGTCAGAAAGTCAGAACGTGAAAAATTAAAAACGTCAGAGCGTCAGAAATTCAGAATGTCAGAACGTTAGAACGTCAGAATATCAGAACGTTAGAACGTCAGAAAGTCAGAACGTGAAAAATTAAAAACGTCAGAACGTCAGAAATTCAGAATGTCAGAATATCAGAACGTTACAACGTCCGAATATTAGAACGTTAGAACGTCAGAAGGTCAAAAAGTCAGAACGTGAAAAATTAAAAACGTCAGAAATTCAGAACGTCAGAATATCAGAACGTTAGAACGTCAGAATATCAGAACGTTAGACCTTCAGAAGGTCAGGAAGTCGAAACGTGAAAAATTAAAAACGTCAGAACGTCGGAAATTCAGAACGTCAGAACTTTAAAACGTTAGAAGGTCAGAACGTAAGAACGTCCGAACGAAAAAAATTAAACCTTAGAACGTTATTACGTCTTATGAAATACGACTACGAAAGCGTATATACGATTTCAATCTTAGTTTCAAATAAATCACATTTTCCATACCTTCCCAATTATCCAAAATTTTTACAATTTCCTGTGTGCTTATGTCTCATTTGAAAATATTCATAATTTCCAGTACTTAAGTGCCGAGCGCGAAAGCGCGAGGCTACCTTGTATTCATACAATCTTACCGACCAAAACGTATTTATGCGCCGTTTTTATAGACTCGTCAACGCGTGGTCAGTTTTAGTCCAGCTTGGTCTTAAAAAATTCCATATTTTCCATAGGTTTGCCAATAGATTTTTGTTTTTTTTTATTAACCAGTGGTCAGAAGATGGTTTCACCAGGTCTTAAGTATGGGAAACGTAAAGAGCACTCAAAGAAGTATTCACTCCACGGCAATAAAAAGTACTTACTATAAAATTGACTGTAACCACGGAGACTATAGCGGATGCATAAATACTTGCTCGTTAGGTAAAAAATGTATATTACGTCATGCAAAAGTCCGGACGTATTTCAGAGCGTCAAAACGTCAGAAATTCAAAACGTTAGAACGTCAGAACGTCATAACGTCATAACGTGAGAACGTTAGAACGTCAGAACTTCAGAACGCCAGAACGTAACAACGTCAGAACGTCAAAACGTCCTAACGTTAGAATGTTAGTACATTAGAACGTCAGAACATCAGAACGTAATAACGTCAGAACGTGAAAACGTTAGGACATTAGAACGTTAGAACGTAACACCGTAAGAACGTCAGAACGTCATGAAGTAAGAACATCAGAACGTCAGAACGTGAGAACGTTAGAACGCCAGAACGTACCTACGTCAGAACGTCACAACGTCACGACGTCATAACGTCAGAACGTGAGAACGTGAAAACGTCATAACGTCAGAACGTGAAAACGTCAGAACGTCAGAACATCAGAACGCCAGAACGTTAGAACGTTAGAACGTCAGAACGTCAGAACGTTAGAACGTTAGAACGTTAGAACGTCAGAACGTTAGAACGTTAGAACGTTAGAACGTTAGAACGTTAGAACGTTAGAACGTCAGAACGTCAGAACGTCAGAACGTAAAAACCTAAAAACGTCACAAGGTCATAACGTTAGAACATCAGAAAATCAGAATCTTCATAACGTGAAAAATTAAAATTCCCAGAACTTCAGAAATTCCGAACGTCAGCCTTTACATATTTATAATGACCTTTCCAAAACAAAGCCAATACTATCCAGTACTTAAGTGCCTAGCGCGGATGCGCGAGGCTACCTTGTTAAGTACTTACAAAGCAAAATTTTGCCGTAGAAATCCTAAATATTTTAAAAACTGCAGTTGAGTCGGTAGAACGATACTCCCTTTCGTGCTCACAGTTGCTAAGCAAAATTCTGCAATAAACTTCTAGCCAGAAGTATAATTATGTTAATTATTACGAAAACAGCATGCGAAGGAACTTGCATACTTAGAATACAAGTGACTGTGGTCTCCTCATTCTGTTTTTCTGTTTAAACAAGTTAACCTGAATTTAGACTAAAACATGTTTCTAGCGAAGAAAATTCTTCGATAACGAAGATAATTCTTCGATAGCGAAGAAAATTCTTCTATTTCGCTACGTTTTTATTGGGTAGCAGTTTTGGTTTCGTGACTTTCTTGTAATTTCTAGAGATGGTCAACTGTCTTGTCAAAAAAATGCAGACAAAATTAAAACCATCACTTTGCTCGTGCTCTTTTTTTGAAAATTGTTTCACAACCAAATCATTAAAAAAATCTTTGAGTGATGCATACATTATGCCCTTTCTTAATGAAAATGAAAATAGTACAAACGCAAAACCTTGCTCGTGCCGTTTGCTCTTAAAAATTGTTTCTCAGCCAAAATATTAACAAACAAATTAGATTTAAAGTGTGTTATCAGAAAAGTAACGCACTGCTGACAAAATAATTTCGGGCATCTCTTTAAACAACGTAGTGCTTTCCTCTTTTTCTCTGCTTGCGTTATTGCTTGTGCTTACGTAGTTTTCTATCTCTGCCTTGAACATATCTCCTTGTTGTTCTGCAGAAAGAGGTTGTTTTTCCCAGTTGGATTTCTTTTGGTTTGGTTTTTCGTCGAAGTATCTTTTTCTTATTGGTACTGAGAATACTAGGGAAAATTTCGCTTCCGGTTCAGAAACTTTGTTAGCTGGCAGAAGATAGCTCATTTCAATTATTCCGATGTTCATTCTTTTTTCTTTTGGATCTGCCGGTTGAAATTTCTGCATTTCGTCAAAAAACGTTTTAATCGAATCAATTGGGACTCTGATGTGCTTTTTCTGTCCCACGGTGCAATCACAAAACTGAAAGTGTAAACTTGATCCACCTCGAATTACGACCATCCGCACCATATCGTATCCCTTGTGAGTTTCCGATTTTGGGTATATGTATACCTCGCCGGCATTCATCCGTTGAAATGCATCATGTAACGTTTGAAAAACTGTGAGGTAATTGCCTTCCAGTTTAACGATTTCTAAAGCAGGTTTTGAAAACGCAGAGCGTACCCAGGCAGATTTTTCCTGGTATATTTTTCGAGTTATTGGCAAAAGGCGCATACCAGGATAATCGTGTGAGCGCAAATCCTTGATATGTTTTAAAACTGTGTATTCAAAATCCTGTCCATATTTAGAAGCTCGAACTCTTTTTGGGCGCCTGAGCTGCAGTCGTCGAACAGTGGCCCACACGTATTGGCTGACGAAATATGGATTAGAGTGATCCTTTTCAGACACGAACTTTCCGCTGTCCTCTCGCGGCTTGCCCGGATTCACCCATCTTCCTAACAGGCGATTACTCTTCTGACCGACGTCGACCACTTTTGTATATGCGTCGTACCGGAGCCTTGTCCACATCGATGATCCTATTGCCTCGAAAAGCCCTATATCGAGCTCTGCAAGGGCGGTTAAAAATGGTTTAAAGAGCATGTAACGAGCACTTCCGCCAAAGAAACGATAACGAAGTCGGAGTGCTTTATTGAATCTCTCGTTGTCATTCAAATCCACTCCGTCCTTCCTCAGTGAGGTTAATACCCGATTTTTAAAATCCGTAATTTGTACTGCTTTAGCGTATTCATCCCAATCCCATGATAAGTAATAGTATACCTCCAACTTGTCCTCGGGGTATCTAACAAGCCCCATGGAGGTGACTATGAATAATCGGTTTTTAGTGGAAACCTTTTGCCATCGGACGAAAGTGTCGAAAACCTTTTCGAGATCCTTAAGGGGACTCCAAGTTGGGTAACTGGAAATTTTTGTCCGGTCAGTCACGCCATCGACAAAAAGGATAAATTTTCGATCGACGTCTGGTAGTTCTAAGCTCTCTATTTCACTAGAGATATTAGCAGTTTCGAGGGACATAGTTGTTCTGCGGTACTCATTGTTGACGTATTTGATAATTGTGAAGGAAGTTGCTTGCTCTCTAATTCTTAGCCATCCTACGTCAGCACTGTCAGCCCAGAGCAAATTGAGGGCGCAACAAAACGCCGCGGTGGTTTTTCCGCTACCAGGCGGCCCGCAGATAATTCCAGGCTTTTCTTCTTCGTTATGCACCTTGTACTGAATGTGCTTATAAAGTCTCCAAACTTCATGGCGGATGAAAACCACATGTGGGCTTGGACCATCGATCTCCCCATTTGATGTAAGTTTTGCTGGAATGGTGCATATTTGACCTTGTCGACCGTCAAGATCAATGTGTTTTATTGATGCACTTTGGACTGAAAAAAATAAAAGATACCAGTTCATCGACCACGCGCAGCAAAGGTCTTCTCTAAAAAAGAGTTAAACTAAGCGCCAATGCGCTGATTGAATTTGGCACGTTGCGGAACTGATCCGTATAAGATCATAGCTGGCATTGCTATGAATAGAACTATGAACTGGACTTTGAAAGCGGGGACGCAAAAGCCTTTTTCGGTCATGCTGAGCTTTGGTAGGATAGTGCCGGCAATATTAAAGCGAGTGCACTTTCATAGTAATTTGTCCGAAACGCACTGCTTTCGTCATGGCTGCTGACTGACGCTTGGCGGCATCAGCGTCTTTGGATCACTTCACGGTGTACGGTATACCGAGGTTCGCTAATCGTTATTCAAGACTTACCCGGGAGGTTCGTTCCCATTTCTTCAGTATTAGGCGGTGATTGCTCTGGGTTGTCTTCCAGAGTACGTCGTTTTTGTTCACTGTCTGCAGAAATATAAGTGTTATGAACGTTGTAAAACGTTTACTCTGCTTCCGCAGCAACACGGAACTGATGATTACCATTTTCGCCCTCCATCAACGCATCCTCGAACGTCTTCAGTTCATCATCGTTCATGTTGAAAGGGTTAGGAAGATCTTCGGGGGATACACCGAACTCATCGGTACGTGCACTTCCAGCTACAGATAGAGAATGTCACAAATTACCAACCCGCCAAACAAAGTTTTTATAAACCCCGGTCGGATTTTCGAATATGGGTGTTCTAATGTGGCACTGATTTTAATAATTGTGTCTGGGATAGCGGCATTGGTGCGTCTGTTTTTTTCTTTTGTGGCAGTAAAGATTTAGAATCCGGATATGAACATTCAAAGATGCCCTCACGTCCAATAATATACTGTGCGTGAGGGCATCTTTATTTATATATATATATATATATATATATATATATATATATATATATATATAATATTTTACAAGCGGCTAAAAAGGTAAGATTTTTCATGTTGAATGAGATCACGAATCTTTCATTTCCGTCAGCTTATACTTTATAGTTATAATAAACTCTCTTACCGATGGGCCGAGGTTGACCGGTACGTTTGTCTGCGAAAATATCATTGGCATCTGAATTGCTGGCCATCATCATCCTAGCTTCTACATGCGATCGGAACATATCATGGTCATTTGACGCTTCGCCGTCCCTTGACTCGTCAGTGTCCGTTAACCAAAAAGGGTGCACTGACAACTCAAGGGCCCTTGACCGAGCGTAGTCCTTTGGCGAATTAGTGTCCATAGAAACATCAGTGTCTACAGGAACATCCATGTCCGTTGAGAAATCACTGTCCACTGATGAATCACTGTCCGCTGACGATTGGATGTCCATTGGCGATTGAGCAGCGTCCATTGACAGCTCGTTTTCCGAGCATTCCGCGCCAGCTGCTTATTATGACATAGGTTAATCTTTCGCTCGACATAACATGGATCAAGAATCAGAATATTATAATAGTTTAGTACAATTCTCCGTTTCACTGAAATCTAAAGCTTTTTTAGCGTTATCAATGTGTTTCGCTCTGCTAGGCTGTCCGCTTGGATGTTTTTCAAGTAATAAATCTGGCGCAAATCTTTCGACGTATGCGCGTAAGACCTACCGGATGTTTCTGAATTAGTTTGGCCTGGGCTGCCACAAGAGGTTGAAGCAATAGGGCCCACGTTCATAGGTTCATGGATTACGTGCTTTTGGTTGGATTCACCCTAAAGTAATACGAAGTTAGGTTAGCGGTTTTATTCCGCTTAGCACTCATGCGCAAAATGTTACCGAAGTCATTAGAGGAGAGAGCTTCATAGAATCGTTATTGTTCGCATTAAATACTGATGGCGGTCCAGAATCTAAAATATAATGCACTTTTTGGATATCTGTCACATGATGCGGAGATTTCCGCGAAGAAATTCGTTTACAATTTTTTTTAACTCTAGGAAACCTTTCTTTGTTATTGATGTTAACTGTGCATGGCAAATAATGACTGACCAAAGCCATGGATGGCTATGTTAAAAAATGTGACCATTGCTGTTCATTTTGTTCACTCACGCACGGCTGTCATTTGGCTGGAATCGCCCTAAAGTTACACAAAATATGGTTAGCGGTTTTACTTTGCTTAGTTCTCCTCCACAATTTTTACCGGAGTTAGTAGAGGAGACCGCATCATAGAACCAAGCGGGATTACATCACGTAGTTCTAGCGGCAGTCCAGAATCTTAAATTCAATGCACGTTTTTTGGCATCTGTTAAATGATGCGGAGACTTCCGCGAAGAAATTCTCTTCATAGATATAAACTCTAGGAAACCTTTCTTTGCTATTGATGTTAACTGTGCATGGCAAATAAAATAATCGACCGAAGCCATGTCCATCTATGTTAAAAACACATGACTGCTGACTTTGTTCACTTACGCATGGCGCTCTTTTGGTTGGACTCGCCCTAAAGTGATACAAAATATGGTCAGCTGTTTTACTTTGCATAGCTCTCATGCATAAATTGTTACCGGAATCAATAGAGAAGAGCGCTCCATAGAATTAAGTTGAATTGGATTATTTACTGGCAACGGTCCAGGGTCTGAAATTTGGTGAACGTTTTTTGGACATCTTTTATTCGATGCCGAAATTTCCGCGATGCAATCCTTTTAACACTTTTTAACTCTAGGAGGTCTTTCTTTTACTGCTGATGTTATATGCGCATGGCAAATAAAATAATCGACCGAAGTCATGGTCGTGAAGTATGTTAAAAGTAGATATGGACGACTTCGTACACGTTAAATTTTTCGAAGCATGTTTTTTTGCTTGAACCCACAGTATCCCGCCGTATCCCACGGCATCCTCTACGTATCCCTCATGTATCCTTACAATTTTTTACTTCTGCCTCGATTGCTGCCGTATCTCTCCGTATCTCTGCAGTATCCTCTATGTATCCGACATGAACTCCGTTAAAAAACAAAAGAACACTAAGAAAACATAATAACGGGATATATGGAGGATAAGCAAAGGATACCGTGGGGATACTATGGAATACGCGAATTAAAAGGAATCACCACATTTTATCAATATTTGCAATACGTGCAGAGTATACACTACTGGCTACATCAGTGTAATGTAGCCAGTATGGCAGTATCCCTACGTATCCCACAGTATCCTTTACGTATCTTTCATGTATCCTGCTTCATGCAGGTTTAAGGGTCATAAGTAAGTAAAGTACGTAATTACAGTATCCCAACGTATCTTAACGTATCCTTACTCTATCCGTCGAGTATCCGGATTACACTTACATTTGGGATCCACATAAGGATACTACAGAGATACGGTGGGATGTTGCAGTAACTAAAACAAAGAAGAAAATCTGGGGGACACATGAAGGATATGCAGAGGATACTGTGGATACGGTGGGATACTCTGGATACAACTAAATACACATGCCCGAAAAAGTTTAGCGTGTACTAACCTTGCCGTACGTGATAAAAAGGTGGAGAAATTTGGTTTACACGGGGCCGTTAAAGCGAAAATGTGGAAAACTGTCTGGCATGAAGATAATGGTCGGGGTGTTGAAATAGTTGTCCGATTGTAATCAGGTATGATTCGAGTCACCGATATTAAAGAAAAAAACCCGAAAAAACTGAACGCGCATTATGCCAAAAACTAGTTCATTACTCCGACAGTCAAAATTTTACCATCATGTGCTAAAGCTTCGTCAATGCTCTCTTTCCTCTGCCTAATTTTTCCAGTTTTCTTTTAGTTTTGTAAGGTTTTTTTAACACTGTTGACACCTCTGGTGGTGACAGCTTACGCAGTATCAACCTTTCGAGCTTCAGCCTGTTTACCATGTAATCACAAGATTTATTACTGTGGCTAATATCATTACGGAGAAGTGAGTTCTACGCCAGCACACCCATGATTTAAAGCAGGCCCACATAAACAAAACTTAATGAGTCCGAATTAGGGTTTCGAAGAGATGCACCGTGGAAAAGGTTCGACAAGTTTTGCGTGATCATACCTTTGGGTGGCGATTTTCCAGTGGCTGTGTTCCACAAAGCTATAACTGGCGTGTACCATTTCTTCGGTGTTTCCGGTGTGGTTGGAGCCGACGTAGGTTTTTGAGGACTGACATCTTTTTTCCCGGAATTCCTCAGTTCGTTTCGTTGAACAGGCGCTATTTGTTGAGTTTCTATTTCAGCGTCCTGTTCAGGTTTTGACCATGTCTGGTTATTTGAAGAGGGTCGATTGTCTTGGATTTCCGCCGGTAGTCTATTCGGGGCGACTGCTTCCGCCTGATCAACAAAAAGTGTCTAGTGACTGCTGCTGTAAAAACGCGAAAGTGATGTGCGTCCGTAATTATAGGTAATTCATATTCGCCGCAAAATTCGTTGTTTTGCTGCAATCCTCGCACTCCACCTAAATTTATTCAGTTCTCGGCCGGTGATAGATGCGCTCTCTTTTAGTACTTACGACCACAACTTGGCAGATTCGAAATTCTTATTTTCGATTCCGCTACCACGGTCTAAGTTTCTCTTCAACTGACACGATACATAATTTCGAAACAATGTTTCTTTTAGTTGTGAAGTTTTTATCTCGGAAGCACCATCGCAAGCGGCGAAATTAATAGCCTTTATTTGTTGCCCGTACTTGCGCCATACTTACGCACTTAATAAGATTAATTGAAAAACGAACAGTCGACCAATGGATTTTCGAAACTCGTAGCCGTGTGGTCGACTCCGGTTACTTTTCATAATTATGTTCTTGCTCTTAAGTTTAATTATGCCTGCCTGAAAGCTCTCAAAAGCAGAAGCGAGATAACAACTTCCTGTGGTACATAACTGCGAACACACGACTAACCAAATTCGGTGTCTGGTTCATGATCGATCGTATATAAAACTACACCGTTAGCGAAATAGAACTTACGGATACTTCTGCCGCCGGGAGGCTCCCAGAGACTGCGCTACCTTTTGCCGTTGGAACTGGTGTCCCAGATGCTGTTTCTCCTTTTGCTGCTTTTTTCTGTAAAGTTCACCATTATCGAATTCGGCTATGTTCAGTGGGCAAAAATCATAACCGCTATCGTGATCAGATTAGAACGTACAGTAATTTTTTTGTTTCTTGAGGGGCTTCCGGAATTTTTGCTACCTTTTGGCTTTCGCGTCTCCTTCTTTTTTATTATTTTACGGATTGCTGCGAATTTCTGTATGAAACGGTATTAATAAATTTACCCGATTCAACCAGGTTCCGATGACATGTCCATAACCGACACCGTCATCAGATTAGAGCTCAGTTCTACATACAGATTTTCTCGACGTCACTGAGCTCCCGGAAGCTGGGGGATCTTGCATATTCGAATTCTGGTTCGATTCTGTGGAACTTGCTTCACGCGCCTATAAAGCGTTAACAATTTTATTCGTTTCCTCGACACGGCTTTGCGTTTATGGTGGCCGGTTGCAGCACTAGCTTAGTAGATACAAGGGAAGATATCATGGTTGGTAGGGCATTCATGTGCCTGAGACACACTTTGAACGCTATGTTAACGCAAGGTGGACTTTAGAATCATCCGCGGACCGATGCGCTAGCTAATAACGACTACACTTTCTGTAGCACTATAAACGCTCGAATTTGCTCGGCTCCATTATAGTCTTCGGGTAAATAAATGCGGTAAGTAACAATATAACTTGGGATAAAATTTATCTTGTACTCCAGTCGTATAATAAAATGATATGCGCCGCATTTCATACGTTTGAGACTTTGAGTGACCAGGGAAGCTAACTTACGCTTATTAAACTTTGTGTAATCATATCAATCAGGTATGTTGTCTACTTGGACAAAAAGCACCTACGCTGATTTCAAATTCTCTAACTTCGGCTTCAGTTATTTCTCCTGTTTTCGAGATATGGGTCAAAGAAAAGCCAGTCGGAGTAGAACTAAGTCTGCCAAATTTGCCAAGTTGGTATGATTTCAGCCAAACTGTTCATCACTGGCATGCCATACTGCTTCTCGAAAATGGATTTTATGAGGTCTTCTTGAGAGTCTTTAAATTTTGCTGTCCAGAAATTGTAAGCAAGTATCATGGCAATGACCGCAAACTTGCTACCAAGTTGATCCGGTCTCTTATGAACCTTGATTCTGAGCTTCCCCTCGTCTTCCAATCCATAGCTTGCCCAGATTTGGTAACGAATTTCTGAATTTTCGAAGCAACCGGGTACACATTCGTACAGGTGAATTTTGCCAACACGATTCCCATCCTGATCAAACTGACACGCAGAGAAGCAAATATAAGTGTCACCATCATGGTAATGTATTTGGCCATGCCATTTTCCCCGTGTCTCCCACTCCGGACGATTAGGACGTGAAATCGAATGATGAGGCAGCAGACCACTGCGGTTGAATACAGGGTGTTTTGCCTTCAAGTTTTCGCTGAATCTGTCCAGAAATTCTCCCGTTATAACATTTTCGGTCAGTGACCTTTGAGCTCCTGCGTTGTCGGTCATGATGTTTATGCTGTTCTTGGATAATATTTTTTTAAACGGTTGAGCAAGAGTAAGTCAGTATAAAAGCCATTCAGTATAATAATATAATGACGATAATATCAGTGTGTATAACGTATATATAAGTATACGTACATAAATATAGGGTATACTGAATGCAGCAGTGGTGAGCTACTCTTCACCTAATCTGTAAAACGTTAATGTTTATTGGTAGTTGTTGCAAAAGTTTACGTAAATGTGTATTGGTTGTTGTTGAGGATTTTTCAGCGTAGTCCTTGAATGGACCATTGCTCCAATAAATCTTGGTTGGGGTCACTTCTTCATGCCAGCAAGGTTATTAACTTGCCGCATAAATACCCACTAAGACAAAAATGGTTCTATGGAAACGTCTCAAAAACTTTAAGGCACTTTAAGAGCAGACTTCATTAATATCAAGCACCACATCCAGGTCCGAGAAGTAAGGATGGTAATATCCAATATCCAAAAGTGTATCCAGAGCTCAAATATCCAAATATCATATCCATATCCCGAGCTGTCCCGAAAGATACGGATATTTTGGATATTTGACGGATACGGTGGATATACAAGGATACAACAGGATATGGACGGGTGCAAATAAATTACTTGTAGAAACAACAGAGAAAACGCATGCAACAGGCTGGAGAGGAACTGAATAACAAAATTTACAATGGCACAGCACGAACTTCAACCGGATGCACTACCGGCAGGGCAACCGTGCACAAGTCTAAGTTGTTTGTACAATCTCTTGTCATTTCTTGTGAGTTTTAGAATTGAAGACGCTGTAGTTGTTTTTAATCGAGCCTAAACCAGTTATGCTTGATTACTGAGGATCGTTCAACGATCATCGTTGAAATATTTTTAAATCTTCGCGCCTATAAAAAGTAACTCTTTCACATTTCGCGTCAGTTTTTGTATCGGTGGATAATGGATAACGATTCCAGTTCCAGTAGCGAGAAAGTTGGTGACACCGGCATTTCCAAACCAGGTAAAGCAGCGTTTTACTGTTAAAAAAACTTCCTTTCTTGCTATTAATTACCTTTAATAAACATTCAGAATATATAAAGGGAAAATTTTAATTTCTTTAACGAAATTTTTAAGTCGTATTAATTTTATTTCTATCATGATTTCTCTTAATAAGCGGTGTTTGTAGAGACGGGGCCACGCTTGGCTATCTGGGAAAAGTTTATCAAAGGAGAGAAGGAAGCAAAAAACAACTTCTTCCAAGCAACATGCAAGGCCTGCTTCGCAAAGAAAAACACGGCATCGTCTATTAGAGGGGAGAAAAGCAGAATGGAGAGCCACTTCTACAGCTGCAAGTTCGTCTGCGAAGCCGACAAGAATGCCTTTCGAAGTCGTTGCCGGATGCAGGCACAACAGGAACCAGACATTCAAGAGCCACCCACGAAAAAACCCCGGCTGCAGGGTACAGCTGAAACATATTTTGACCGCCCTCTGGATAAAAGAGACCAAGCGGAGTTTGAGACCCGTATTCTGGAGGCATTCGTTTCATGTAACATCCCGTTTGCCGCTGTGGAAGATGCCAGATTCCAGTCAATGATGCGGTTAATTCGTCCATCCCTTGAACTGCCATCTAGACGTGTTCTGTCTGGGCGTATCCTTAATAAATCCGTAGACCATACAGAGAAACGTAAAGCACTGCTGCTTAAAGGTCAAAAGCATGTGACTCTGACATTGGACGGTTTCAAGATGAACTGGTCAGTTTGTTAGAATCACTGGTTAAAGCCCAAGGCCAAGCCGAAAGCGACGACTGCACACTTTCTGACGTTGGAAACATTTTTGCTGACCTTTGCGCCAAATTTCGCTCTCTTCCGGAACCGGTTTCTTCCAGATTGTTTGCAGCTTTAGAGCGCCGCTGGAAACGATTTTATAATGTTCCCGTGATTGTGGTGGCCATGTTTTTAGACCCAAATACCCGAATGAATCGGTTTAGAAAGTCTAAAAGCGTCAGCGTCGGCACAATTGGGAAATGGGCGTCGGGCTTATACACACGTTTATTTGGAGAGAAACCAAAACGATTGATGGACTCCGTCGTCGATTACGATGAAAAATCTAATGTGTTTGGAGAAGACTGTTTGGCGGAAGTTAGCACAACAGTTCGGTACTGGAAGCTAGTGAAGTATCAACATGAGGAATTAGCACGACTAGCAGTCCATTTGTTTTCATGCGTGGTGCATGCGGCTGCCATTGAGAGAGGCTGGAGCCAGATGGGATACGTGCATACAAAAGGCCGCTCACGCATGGGTTTGCGCACAGCTTCTGCGTTGACGTCAATGCGCATGCAGTTTCAGAAAGAAGACCGTGTAAAAGTAGCCAAGCCGCGCGCGACGACTGCAAAACAAGCGCATACATTATCCGAAATTGATGATCCCGATATCGTTGTGGTCAGTTCAACTACTGCCATCGAAGTAGCCGACAACGAAGTGGAAAACGAGGATGAACTTGCGGAATTCCTGTTTGAACAAAGTTATGTTGAGAACGCAACAGAGGAGGAGCTTCTGGATGACCTGGGAGACTTTGTGACTTTGGCTGACTTGTTTTTATAAATCTTGCATTTTGAATTATTTTGATTAATTTTGTTATCTGTTAATCACGCACTATTTTATCACAGCTCAACTTATTTCCTAACTTTCGGAATTAGGTGTTGATGGTTAATGTGCTTTATGAAGTTTTTTGATAAAATATTCAGACTTTTCAAGACTTTTTCAGAAATAAACGTTTTAATGGATATATCTGGATAGGAAATGATATATCCAAGATATTTGTAGATATATCCATATCAATTTTGGATATATCCCATATCCAGAGGCATTCCCTTGGATATTACCATCCTTACCGAGAAGCAAGCATTTGAAAAAGCTCCTCTAAACCGGTATCAAAAGGAAAAGCGAGAAAAAAACGATTTGCTAGAGCCAATTCAGATACGGGTAAACATCTAAAACCAAGTAAAATGGAGCTCAAACCGGTAAAAAGAATAAACCGAAAAGCAATCAAAGATCAGCGTGAAGTGGGCCTATTCCTTATTATTCTGGGGTGGCAGCCTGCATTCGTTTGAAAATTCAGTAGACAGTAGAAAATCCTTACAAAGGAACATGGGCTACCTAAGAAGTGGGCCAGGCAATGTCGAAGCTGGATATCGTCTTGGTTATCACACAGTACATAATGTACTGGACCATTCGGGAAAGCCGGTTCACATCGACGAGCTCAAGCGGATCGCCTCCTTCGGGAAACGGCTTTAAATAAGTGGAAGTTTTTCGAGGATCCTCAGACTGCCATGAATCCAGAACCTGCAAAACACTGAAAACAGTAAACCCCTAAGCTCAACCGCTGGATGATCAATCGTGTTTTTAAACAAGCATTATTACCAAATGCTGCTAGAAAAGATCCCTTGCGCTCAACTGATCAATAATTGCAGTAGACTAACCATAACTAGCTTCCTCTCAAGGAGGCCGTCTTCAGTGCTATCTTTGATCGCCGTGTACAAAACACTCTTCTGTTGATCATCCAGCAGCGGACAGCGTTGCTCAAACATGTTCCAGCAGTCGGCGACAGTCAGACGCCGATCGCTGCTCATGCGCCCAAATGGAATCCGGATGGTGAAGCTCACGCCGCCATCCGGAAAAAACGGGCGAAAGACACAGGTAAAGTTCTTGACTATAAGCGTGCCACAGATCGCCACTAGTGAGTCAAACATGTAGCAAAGATCGCTGATGGAATCACTGGAATTCCACGGAACGTGAAAGCGAACGTCCCTCATAATTAGATTCCTGGGAAATTTCTCCGCTCCGCCTCGTATGATCTCGCGAAGAAAAAGCCCATCACACAAAGGCCAGTTCGCCAGTCCAGATAACTGTGTAGAATTATCGGCAACTGGCGAGCCGACAATGGCAACCGCGCGGTTGCTCCAACAGTGATGTGCACAGGCCACGGCCACGTAAACACTGCCGACGGAAGGTACGCGTGGACGCCGGGGAGCATGTTCGGAAGGAAACTGGATATGCAGCACATTCTTGACTGCGATCGATGTGAGGATGGCGTTCCAGCCGGCGCACACCGTCCGCAGCCGACATTGATCCACGGTGTGCAGATACTGAAGAGCCTCGGCTAAGATTTCCACTGGCAGGAATCGGATACCACTAATATCGTCGAGTACAAGCGCAGGTATCGGCCGCATCGCTCCTGGCACTGATGAAGCAAAGGCATCCCTGCAGCCCCGTTCCACCTTTCGACGTTTCGCCGTGGCCAGGCACACGTCTCGGTGTCCTCGTTTCTTTCCCTTTGTGCAATATGCATTTTCGCCTCGGAGCACAGTCTTACTCTGCAATGGCAATTATTTTGTCTCACGGATTCCCGCAAAATAAAGCAAGCAGCGGTTGATGAATTTAAAAAGTTTCATCGAGAACAATTTAAAAAAAGCACTTAATTCAAGAATTTCTTACGTATAACTGCCGCAATTTCTCCGCGTTTCCATCTTCTGTCTCCTCTTGAAGTTCACTGGCCAGCGAAATCCTCGGAGCAGGGCGTCTAATCCTGTCCTGGGCAACGATTGTTTTGACGTCTCCATCAGGCAGGTGGATGGCAACCCAAGCGAACTGCCGGTGCTGCCAGTCGAAAACCAGCACTGTGGCGGGCTGCCACTTCCACGGCTCCGTTTTGCGCTGTTGCATCAACACTTCCACTTGATCATTGACTCCTGCAAGACGATACAAATCCCTTGTCTAAATCACAGATTTTATGGCCCGAAGTGTACAAGAGGTAGTGCACTTTCATTAATGGTTATTAATGTAATCTACAGTATTGTCAGGAAAGTGCAAAACCATCCCGCAAAAAAAGTTTGTATATGTTGTCTTTATTTTTAAAAGTTACCTTGATCGTGGTAAAACGAGACACGTAACGGACTGTAACCATAATAAAAATTAAGTCGGGATATGAAGGCCTGGTCCAAAGTAATCCACTCGCTCCGCTTGTTTGCGCAACAAAAGTCTACGAGTACTTTGCTTGTAGAACGGACAATTGCTTTTCCACACTGAAGCACTCCGTCTCTTCCAAGAACTTCCACAACGACAGAATCCTCCGGGTGCAGGGCGGAATTGGTCACAACGCCGGTAGAAAGCAATCTACAAAATAAAAGTTAAACAGTTTTGGTGCAATTCAATACATGCAGTTGTGAATCTAATTTAAACGCCTGCGAGACGTGGATTTCTGGTCTTTGAGCTGCAAGTGGCATGAGCAATAAAAAAAAAACTAACTTACTACAAAAAGTAACACTTATATTCTTAATAAAGATCAGTTACTTACGTTGCTACCAATACCATATTATGTATGGACATCCCAAACTTAAGATAAAACGTCTTGAAAATTCGGCAATATACAATATTATATAGTATAAAGCAGATTGACTAGCTTACTTGTCGCGTTGGATGGTGCTGGTTTTCCGCTTCACGCGGACAGGGGCCAACTCCGCGTTCATTTGGCTGATTTTATCCTCCTGCGCCACATTCTTTTCCCGTTGCGCCTTGAGCTCTCTCAGTGCGCGCATCGCCCTCAGGACGACTTTTCGCACATTAAAGCCTGTCTGCAGAATATCCCCGGCACACCGCTCATCGATGGGCAGATGGCACTGCAGTGTGGGGATTAGCAGCGATTCAATTTCCGTTAGCTTTTGCCGCAGAACAGAGACTTCATCCTGGCTGTTCTTAGTCAGTTGTTTGGATTGAGTCCTCAGGTCGCGGTGAGCTTCGCGCAGTGAAGAGAGTTCCTCTTCGAGAGCTGCGATGCGGTAGTGCAAAGAGGTCTCCGATGCGGATTTATCAGCTTCCAGCTATACACAAAAAAAAATAATAATAAAAAGTTAACCACATTCAATTCAATATTTTATTTGGTGATTCTGAAGTCGAACGAGATTGTCTACCTAAATTAATTTTAAGTTTCAGCAATGGAATATATGATGCCGAAAACCAAAGCCGCTTTCCGTTTGAACTGACCTGTTGGTACGCCGTCTGTCCGCGCTTCCTCTCTTCCTCGGCTGACTGCAGAAGCTTCTTGTACTCCCGTTTATGTTCTCGGTGCTTGCGCTCTAGACTCAGCAGCCGAAACTGCGCCCGAGCCAGCCGCTCCCGCTCATCGTTCTTCTCGGCCACCGCGTTGTCGTACGCAGTGCGCAGCGCTTCCATCTGCTGACCGCTCTCGCGCTGCAGCTGCTCCCGCTCCAGCAGCCGATTTTCCAGACTGGCCACCATTGCCTCAGAGTGGCGCACATCCTGGCTCAACTGGTCGCTGCTGAGATCTTTCGCCCGTGGAATGGAATGGACAGGCTGCGTATCAGCGAGGGACGGTGACGAGGAAAGGATAAACTCCGGTTGACCTGCAAGTTACGTTAATATTGGATAACTCAGAAATTCTAAACAATAAAAATCTGACTGGAAATAGTAGCAAATGAGTTTAAGAAACCAGCTCATTATTATCGAATAATATTGCAGCCTGACTGAGAAAAAGGATTATTTATGCGAGTAAAACAGCATCGTAAAACTGAACCAGTATCCTCTCACAGACCTTCATACGTAATTCTCAAAATTACCTGAAGCGACACTGCAGGGATCAAGCAAAGTTGCGGGACTCGAAGAACCAGCTGAAGCTGGGGTTTGGAGGACTTGGCCGAAGTGAACACATCCGTTCCGTCTGCCCGCGCTTGAGAAATCCAGGGTCCTTTGACTTTCTGAAACTGCTATTGTTATGCCACAATCACGCACTCCATTTTCGCGACGACATTCCACAACAACATCAGGATTCTCCATACTCTCCATCGATAAAAAATCGAAGTAGTTCTCCCTCCAGTTTTTAGAATAACACGGTTTAAATATATTAACTCCAGATGGCCGATATAAAATTAGAAACAAAACACCAATAAACGAACACTGGATAATATAAACCGGGAAAGGGCCGATATAAGATTAGAAACAAATTAAATTAATAAATAAAATTATACAAGAACACCGGATAAATATGAGGGCTTATATGACGTTAAAAATCCAACTGACAAACTATAATATTAGATTGACAAACCATAGATTAGTTAAAAATTAATTAACACCAGATCGGCACCATTTAGGAGGAGGTAGATGTTGTTGCAAACTTGCTGGCACGAAAATGCTAAAATTATGAAAAAACTAACGTGCTAAACAAGTAAATATAAGCTCAGCACCCGGATGTGATTCGTTGCTCCGTTTCGTTCACGGATGTTCAGTCACGGGTGTGTGTGTGTGTGTGTGTTTGTGTGTAGTTAGAAGGATCCTGCTTTTGATCGAAGCAGGACTTAGAAGCGTTTTGTCCGCTTGTGCATTCTACTAAGAAGAAAGCGGATAATAACGTACAGACGTAATAATTGTACTGTAAAGTCCTGTTCACATAATGTACGAGTACAGTACGTATGTGATCACATACTTACTAAGTACTTAGCCTTGTCTTCACTGATGTTGCTGTATTACGTTTATTCCAAAATTCGACGCGTTAACTTAATTGTGGTTTCGTGTTACCAAGGTTGAAATGAAAATAATACAGTTACCGTTGTAAACTTGTACGCGGTAGACTTACGAAGCAACAACAACTGCGTTGTACGCACATTGTACCAGCAGAGGGAACCTACACAGTTGTACTAATTGCGAAGTATGTTTGCTGCGAAATAGTACTAAAGTACATAATTATAGTACATAATTATTGATAATAATTTAATAATTATGTACTATTTCGCAGTAAACGTAAGTACTTCGCACATAGATTCTTAGTAATTCTGCAGCCCTGAACAACGTTCATTCACCTGGTAACCAGCCCAGTAAGGGTTCCCTAGTTGGCAGAGGTAAGGAAACAATCATTCGAGTGAATTGCATTGCCACGATCAGCGCGGCCCTATGCCACACGAATGTGGTAAAGACCGGGATTAATCACTACTGTAATGCGTAAACAGCAAGCAACGCGATGGTTTTCCCAGTATTATCAGCATAAGCAGTGGGTGGTTAGCTCCACAAATGGTCACTGCTTCTAAGCAGAAATTACAGAAATAATAATTATATCACTGAAGCTATCTGCCGTTGATCTTAACTGGCACTTCACTCAACGTTTAGTTAATACGCATTTCGCAAGAAACAATTTAAACAGTACTCAGAAAGGCCTTGAAATACATGGAACAATTATGCGTAAACAGCACTTAAAACTAATGGAAAGGAATTCTCAGGGAAGAGAAAAAGCTTATTTCCTCGTAGAAATGCACTAAGGTAACGACTACAACTGGATAACGAAGTGATGGGGAAATGTTCTATATGGGGCACTTGTCGCAATATTGGCCACCCAGTAGAGTGGCTTCCCGTGCGAATTCTAGGTCGTTCGATCATGTACATTTGTACAGTGTTAGAATATAATTATTCGAACATTGAGAGTACTTATGCGGACATGCCATATAATGCGCCACTTCCGTGAAAAACGCAGCCATATTTTTTCGTGTATAAATTATTATATAATCTGTACAGGGAAACAAGAACGAATTATTATTATCACTGAACGGAAAAAGGATGATTTTCAATAATGTCGCGCGGTTAATTATTGTCGCCAAGACATGGCGCGCGCGAAAACCCCGTAAAATATGATCAAGGTTCGAAGGTTATAAAGGTCAGCTCAGTCCTGGTAAGTACCCTCAGTCTGTCCGCAGTTTGTTAAATCCCAAAAATAAGCAAATTGCAGCAATGCTTACATAGCTACACATACGCTACACAGTATCTATGTACTTCATGTACATTATGCACTCTACGTACAGGTACTTTATGTACTTTTTAATGTACATTATGTACATTTATTTATCTGCTTACTTTAAATTTTTTTGATTTGGTTGGTTATCACGTTCGAAGTGCTACAGTGAGAACTGCGATATCTATACGCATATTGCTATATTTGTATAAGAATTAGAGCATGCTGTACGTCTGTACGCGGAAATAGAATCGTACGCACGCCGTACGGTCCGTACTGCTACATTACTTGATTCAACGCCTTTGCTTGGAAGGTCGATTAGCTGATCCTAATAAACGCGCATACAGTTTAATTACTTTAATAAGTATCTGTACGTATAATGCTTTGCCAGTAGTATGCATTCATGGCCTTTTCAGACAAGACAAAGTTTCCATTAACAAAGCACTAGCAAAAGTTACGGGAATCTTAGTATATTCAAAGATCTTGCCATGCATCAGCCACAGCAAATAATAATTATCGCCTTCCAATATCGGTAACAGCGCTAACGCCCCGCGGGGCCGACATTGCCCCGCCGTTTCCGTCAGCTTGCACACCATCCCAATCCTCCACCGTTGCAGCTCCTCCACTTTCTCCTGCAACGCTGTCGTCACCGCCCTCTCTTCTACCGCAGATTATCCTCCACCAAACATGCACCCATGCATTTCACTGACAAGACAAACCGATCATACGGCCGGCTGTAGCAGCAACTGGCTCCGAAGGACACGCATGATGTGCTAGTAGTACATGATACCAGCCTTTAAGCAGCCCGATACACTACTGCTGAAATTAAGCATGATACAGTTTAGCCTTTTCTTTCCGCTCAATGGCGTCTGCTACAGACACCGAATTTCCAGCAACTGTTCGAAATGCGTTAAACGACCTTTGCGTGCTTCTGCTAACAGTTTGGTTGGCCGTCCGCTAGCGCAAAGTTCACTTTATCCATTGGCGATTCACGGGAGGTTCTCTGCATACAGCCGTTACCAGCCATGTCTACTTCGGTATGCCGCGGTGCCTTCTGTATGCGGTAGAACTCCGCGTCCACCACCGCCTTCTCGCCTATGAATTGAGTGTACTCTTGACAACACTGTAATTGGATTTTATTAAGTTCTCGTACAGCTCCACCATGCGGTTCAAGCAGAGTTTTGCTGCCTCGTACCATCATGTTCGGCGCGGTTTCCCTTTTTAACTGGTGATATACGTTGCTTTCTGGCAGATCTTCTCCATGGCGGGCGGACTGTACTAATTTTGTAGCGTGTGCGGCATGCACATCAGGTATCCAAGCAGTTATTCAGGTTCTTTACGCGCTTCTCCAATTCTTTCTTCGCCCACCGGTTCCTTGTATCACGAAGTTTGAACGGGTTCGTTGACACAAACTGGTTGAACTGCATCGCAGTCAGGAGAGCGTTGTTGCCCTTTGAGTTCATCGCTGATCGGCGTCACCGGGCGGAAATTGTCGGAGAACTTGGCACGATGCGAACATCCAAAGCGTTTGCTGGTCGGAAGGTCTTCACAGTTGAACTAGCGGATGTCCGGAAAGGTCAGCGTTGGGCAGTTCGCAGGTTCGTCAGGTGACACAACGCTTGGTGGGAGCGCCGCCACCCGGACTCGTTTCGGTTGCTATACATGTAGATTGTAGCATGATACGGATCAGATATACAGAATTAAAAAATTACTTCCATAATCGCCTTGCAATAATTTCAACTTCAAAAACTGGAACAATCCGCACAAAATAGGGAAAATAATTCCACAGTAATCCGTTAATTATGGTTAAATAATTCGCAGGCGCGCAGTTGCACTTGTATAACATAATAATAACATAAATCCGCAGTTCCGCACTGTTTACACATTACCTACCGTGAAAAAATCAAAGAAATCTGGATGAGTAGTCAGCATTAGCGGCCAAGAATAACAAATTACCATTAATAATTAATTAACACGACTATTACTGTAATATTTGACAATATTTTCAGTAAATGAATTTGAAACTGCTCGCAGCATTAGAAGGATCCTCTTTTCCGTTAAGCGACAAAAAGCTTCGTCCAAAAAATTCTGACAACCTGGCAACTGTCATTTTCACATACATATTTTCAGTCAGCCGGGAAATGAGTAAGTATTGCACTTACTACGTACTGTGCTGTGTGTTTGGAACAGCGCGCATACTTACAGTATACAGTACACAAATAAGCAGTTAAATATCTCGCTGGCGAAAAATGCTGAATACTAAAGCATGGCGTGCCACGAAAGAGAATGAGATTTAGCCACAAGAGCTCTGTGTGAGAAGACCAAGAAAAATACACAGCTGCAAAGTTCCCGTTCCGACTAACAAAAATTGGTGAAAAGGAAGGATATCTATCATTTATGTAAATGCTTTGTCATGGCTGGGCAAGCGAATTAAATCCAATTTGATTCGATTCTTGCAGTCGTACCGTACAAGTGCATAAAAAATAACTAATTTTCTAGTATCGATTAAAAACTTGCGATGTGCGAAGTACATTAGGCGTCAGGGAATATCAAGAAGAATGATCTAACGATAGTACGTTTAGGTCGGAAATACAAAATGTCGTACAGTAAACTCATCACACCAGCATCGAGCAGCTCACTGCACTATGGGCCCGTAGTGCAGTGCAGTTATGCAACGTAAGTCACTTAACCCACGGGAAGCAAGCGAAAATTCAGGACTTGACGCCTGTCCATAGTATCTACACAGTATTGATTTTAAGATTTGAATTTTATTATAGCTCTGTGTGTATCTGTATGGCTGGCGGTTGGTAAAGGCCACCGCATTTTATTACTAGTACGCTGTTTTGCAGCATTTTTTTATGATCGTCTGATCCTGAGGAAAATCAGGCACTATTGCTCCGTAGGAACATGCACTATTTCCGGGAAAAATCGCAGTGACTACTGAAAGCATGGAAACGTTAATAGTTTGCAGATCGAAGTAGAAGCCATCCCCGCCTTCAAGGACCTCCGTGGACATTTTATTCAAACCCATCAGTATTTTGGGGTACATTATTTTCTTTGTGAATTTGGGGATGATCACATGCAAATTTATTCATGATATTTAAGGGAACAAATTGTTTCGCGGCTACCAGTTCTGGCTATTGACGTAATTAAGGAAATGTTGACGCGAGTGACGCTGTGCATGGCGAAAAAGGTAGCGTCGTATCGGATGTCTTTCCCAATCATCTCGTAATTCCGGAAGAAGATCCACGGCTAGCGGCACTGAAATTTGCAAACCCCGGTTGCCTCAAGTCAGTAAAAAAAATACCCTAAATATGAACGAATTGCAGTTGTACGTACAATGAACATGTTGCAAAGCATCATAGACCCTACATAACTATATTCCTGAATCCTGCAGCTGTGGATGATGAGGCGTCTGCACTGTGTGAAGAGCCAGCTGCCGCTAAGCTCGAAGGTATGCATACCGTATAAAAATAACTTTTGCTCAGTACTGATAACAGTTTATTTAGATTAGTAAGAATCCGAGAAGAAAGCCAAGCGGTCTACTGTATCGTATGAAAAGCTCTTAACATTGGCCAACCATCAGAAGCGGAGCCATAATCCCGAGAACCAGCCAGATGATATCACAAATAAGGGCGGCGTCAAAGCCCCCACAGGTTAGTTTGACCTGTTGGTGTATTGTATTTAGTGAACTAGTAAGTACTGTCAAATAGCTTTTGGAATAAACTGGTTGCTTCAGGTAGCGTCTTCTTCATTTCACTTAAAGGAAGCCAGAGAAGCGTAGATCCCGGAAAAGACTGTTGCCCAAATTAGCAGTGGGAGATACGTAATTTTATATTATGTATTATTTTATATAATATCATATTTTATATTACGTAATATGTAATTTTATATTATCATATTTTTTTATTTATTATCATATATTATCATATTATCATATCATATAGTTTAAGAAATTACTACTTGGCAGCAAGGGAAAACATTTGGTAGACTCTTGGTTCGCTAATGGTAACCTATGCTTAAATTTTTGTTATCAGAAACGCCGAGAGTCAAGACTGACATCCGATGGTGATCCCGGCAGATTTACAAACGGAGCGCACCGGTCAGCAGCTACTCCGGCTCCAATCGTGATATCGGGTAAGACCGAATTCGTATGATACGGTAGGCCATAACTGATGAATGCATATCAGTTACTAGACACCACGGAGTGGAAACATACCTCCGAGCCCTGGTTGTACCTCCGGAGCAGACACCGGCGACAATGCTTCCATCAAGTACTACCGAAAGGGCACCCGGCACAGAGATGACGGGATGCAAATTGCAAATATGCTGTGAATCCTGTTGGTTTTGTACATGCTGCGGAAACACAGCACAACGAGCTACCAGCCGTAATCCGACCTCAAGTTGATGGACTGAACGCTTTCGACTGCGTATAACGGCGTCATATCATGGCATGCTTTTTCGGTGTTTACCCAGTTTAATAAGAACAATAATAATCTGTCATGACACTGGTTAATTTTAATCGGCTTTTAAATTAAAGGGCATGTGAATATTGCTCGACAACTTTGCTGAGGTCTTAATGGACCACTTTATGTGCCGAACGTAGTTTGTGAAGTTTCTCTTGCGATTGAAAACCACCAAAATTTGGCTTTGTTTGACTTATAATTCTAAGAGCGCTCAACAACGTCGTTCATTTTGTAATGTAATAAATGCGGATGAATTAAAATTTTTTCGAACTTCCTATCACGAAAAGGCCACGGTTTTGCTCTTACCATTTATTTTTATTCCTATTAGTGGTTTGTTATGAACTCTAGCGAGCTCGAGGCAATATAAACTTAGTTTCCCCAACACACTGAAAATTACTAAATACCGAACACACAAGCTTAGTAGAGCGTTCACCCATTTCGCATCAGCTGTAGTTGCCGAAATGCTGCTGTTTCCATACAGCGTTGCCTTGTGTCTCCTTTTCAACATTAAAATAATCCCGGGTGGAATTTACTTCTTGCCGATAGAACTCCGAAAATTCTCGGAACTCGGCATGTCGTACCTCGTTTATCTCTACGTGCGTTAAAGTTGTCTTCGCAAATGCAATATGAACTCCAGCTGGCAGTCTGTCGCCGCTACGTCGCTAGTGTCCTGCCAATGCTTTCCATGCTTTCGCGGCCCGGAGTCTAGTTCGGGTATATCCCCGGGCGGCTAGGAGTGGCGTTCTAATTTCACGCGGCGGAGTGATCCTATCGCATTTTCGGAAAAAAACCGTCGGCGCACCGTGAATGTAGACGAAAAGGCTAGCGCATCCTTAGAGAGAGTGTCGTCCCAGTAGTTTATCGTACAATCGGCGATAACCTACAGATTAAGACGCAATGAGCTGTAGATTTAACGTAATTGGCACTTATTAATTTTTTCAGTCAGGCCCTTAGCTAAAGGCTAAAAGGGGCCAGTGCCGTATATGACTGCGTTATATACTCGTACTGTGCTGACGGAAAGTGAAAGTAATAGTTCTTAACTATAACTTTAATCACACAACAAGCAAGAATAACAAAGAGATGGAAAGCAACAGGAAATGGTAGACCGATCGCTGGAATGATCGATATCATACACAGCAAAGCAGAACCTTATATCTGAGTGCAACCGTGTTGCAATGATTCTAGAAAGTTCGGCAACTTTCATGAGGACAATAAACATGAGAACAATCTCTTAGATTGTCCAGCGTTATGGCCAAAGCCATAACGTGCTCATCCATGCACACACACACGCAGTTAAACAAGCTGTAATAAAACGCATCATGCACAACAACAAGTTAAGCAATAAAGCTCATAAACGTGGTCGCCTTTCAAATGACCGCTATGCGTATACCGGCGTAACACTCTCCCCTCCTTAACGGTTGCGTCCTCGCAACCGGAAGCGCCAATGCCAGTGGCATCCGGTCCATCCAGGTGATCGTAGGCGAATCAAATCACGAACATCAGCCCGCTTGCAACGTTTGCAAATAACCACATGGAACGTTTCCAAGATGAGAGGGTTGAGGCTTCCCTCGGCTTCTCCGCGCTGGCTGAAGACAAAGTGTGGCGTGGGGGGATCGCCATCACTGGGCCAATTAATCCAAATTGGCATCGCATTCGGGCACCGTTGCGTCCAACGTCCCGCAGCTGAATGTCAAACGGACATTCAGTGTGTAACCGGGTGCGTAATCGGTTACCAGTCGGCAACCACAACCGACCACTGGCTCCTCCACTGTACCGCTACGCGCGCGTGACTCACTACAGTACAACGCTTTGTTCCAAAAGCGTTTCGTCTCCGGGACATCTGAGTATCTCCGGCCACGGTTCCAGCTGATCAGACTGTTGCCGTTCCGCACTCCATTCCCGGTGGAGCCAAGGGGATCCACGTCCCACTTCAATAAACTCTGCATGGGGTTTCTCAGGATATGGAACTATCCTGCATCTCGTTAAGCCGGCATTGATTCGGACACTTCGCGACACGCTCCGTGGCTGCCGTAGGTCCAGTTGAACCCTGCAGATAACTCGCACAATGGACAACGTAGTCAATACGCACCGAAAGGCTTGCACTACACCGGCAGCCTTCGTTGTCCTTCTCGGCATACTGGCCGATACTGCAACATCGTCCTTGACGATGCCAGATGCACCAAACGTGACAATGACACTGCTCCTTCGCGTAATCGGCGGCACTGCGTACGACTGTATCGCTTCCAGCCACCACACATCGTACCAGTCAAGATCCGTGATCAGGGCCGTTTTTCTGCGACCCGCACCGTGTGCAGTCGCTTGCCATGACGTAGCGCTAGTCATCATACGCACTGTTTTTGGCCTCCAAATACAGTACGTGTGAAACTCGCTGCATATCCGTAAGGAACTCCATAGGCGTTTTGGCTGTGCTCATGGCAAGCCGCTGACAAAATTCTGGAAGGAGACCATTTCGGAGCCGAGTGATGACGGCATCATCGTCCATGTCGCGGTCGATGCGGTCACACATTGCCAAAACATCATTGTAGTAATCTTCGAGTGGCTCGTCGGGGTCCTGTTTTCGGTCACGTAACTGTCGTTTGAGACGGGTGCAGTAATCTTTGGACTGGAAGCGCTTGACTAAGGCTTCCAGGAACAACTTCGTTGTAGCGAACGGCTTCTTCTCTCCGTCCTCGCTCACCTTGTACCACCATGTTGCGGCAAATCCATCCAAGTAAGCCGGAAGCTGACGAAGCGCCTTGGCATCGTCCCACTCCAGGGCAGCAACGATCACTTTGTACCGGCGCACCCACTGCTCGACGTCTTCACCAGCACGTCCACTGTAGAGGGGTGGCCTCATATCCGTACCGATACAAAGGTTGGAAAATTGTGTGGCCAGCGCTCTTGAATCTAACATAATGTTACGATTCGCGCTGTCTTGCGTTTCACCGACTTTCGTCGTCCCTGACTCGGTGGTGGACATGATTGTTGACGACGTGTCAGGAAAAAAAAAATATTCCGCAGCAACAACAAACGATTACGATAAAAGCAATCAAGTTAATCAGTGTACGACACTGGTGTCTGTTCGATAAAGGTCACGCGTCGTGACGGAATAAATAGCTGGTAAAAGCACCGCTAAACGAACTCACACTGTGGACGCTTCCGTCCACGGTTTCGGCACCAATAAAAGGGGCCAGTGCCGTATATGACTGCGTTATATACTCGTACTGTGCTGACGGAAAGTGAAAGTAATAGTTCTTAACTATAACTTTAATCACACAACAAGCAAGAATAACAAAGAGATGGAAAGCAACAGGAAATGGTAGACCGATCGCTGGAATGATCGATATCATACACAGCAAAGCAGAACCTTATATCTGAGTGCAACCGTGTTGCAATGATTCTAGAAAGTTCGGCAACTTTCATAAGGACAATAAACATGAGAACAATCTCTTAGATTGTCCAGCGTTATGGCCAAAGCCATAACGTGCTCATCCATGCACACACACACGCAGTTAAACAAGCTGTAATAAAACGCATCATGCACAACAACAAGTTAAGCAATAAAGCTCATAAACGTGGTCGCCTTTCAAATGACCGCTATGCGTATACCGGCGTAACAAGGCAAACATACTAAAGGCCCCTCAAAAAGCAATGAAGAACTGATGAGGGATCAATTCTTTACTGCTTTTTATCGACTGAAGCGTAGCGGAGATCTTCTATTTTCACGCATAGTGAAAAATGAGGTGCCTGTGCCTCAAAAGCACATAATTATGTACAGTACCAAAGATCGATCTGCCAGCGGATCCTACGATAAATATGCACGAGTAAATAAAAATTAATAGAGAAGCGCTCAGCACCTACACATGCTTAGATTTGTAATAAACAGGAAGGAATGCGTGGTCATGGGTAACCGCTTCTTGATGTTCACCAGGTCGTTCTGGAAATCCTTGGTAGCAGTGATGGTCATCGTAGCCGCTCGTGCTTCCGTCGCGGACGGTAATGTCCAGATCTTGAGTGTGCGCGTTCAGATCGGTCCGGTCGAACCATAGCCATGCGGTTGGTATGGTACTTATCAATACTGTCCTATTAGTATCACGGTTCCAGTCTGCTGACGGCGAAGATGGCGAACGGACACGGTTTCCCGTAGTCCATGTTTGGTCGTGGCCTTGCTGAAGGATACCAGCGTCGGGCGTTGGAACCGGTTCACCCAGACAATGATGTCGGGGAAAACCGGTTTCTTGAACTGGCTGATCTTCCGCTGACGCTGCGCCATAGCAGTGTTGTAAACGGTCAGCAGACAAAAGTCACCGGTCGCCGTCAGCTGGACCATTAGCCGGTAAACGGGTCTGCGCGGTCTGGTAGATGGTCTGCGCAAGGATGGCAATAATGACAGTCAGGTGCCCGCCAATCAGCGGAAAAGGAGGGCGTAACCGTGGAGATCGAAGCTGAAACCGAAGTCTTTTGTAATCATGATGTCGATGGCATTGGTCCGCCCGTCCAATTCCACCGCGGGATTATAGCGAATTCTTCATCGTAGTAGATCACCGCGTCGTTCTTAAAAACACTGATTGCAGTCAGATTACAGCGTCTGCGAAAGTATACTGATGCATTATGGTTGCGACAAAGGCGTCGGGCGTTGATTTGAATTTATGTCGGGAAAAGGTCAACTGGGATGCGGCCTCACCGTAGGTCCGTAGCCGAGATAGTCGCACGGACCGCTTAATGTCACCGCAATTTTCAGGCAGTTTTGACTTTGATACACTTCCATCTGGAAGTCGACGACAAATAATTACGCTAAAGGTCACCTTTCAACAATTGTAGACAAGAATATACGTGTATTTACGTTTATTTAGTTAGTGCAGTTGTGAGTCAAATGAATAATTAAGTACTTGTACCAAAAATGTTGCAAAAGTAATTGACATTATATGTAACCGTAACGATCATTGGCATTTGGCGAACCGGGGAACGCTCACAGCGCCTTCCCGGCACATACACCCGCGCCGACCGATTCGAGCAGAAGACATACGCATCAGGCTTCTCGGGAAGATTTGTTTTCATGTTCGGCGATCAGCCCATCTCCTGAAACGTCTTGTTCAGCTGCGCCAAGTACGTCGACGATACCGCCGCCGTCTCGACGTCCTCCTCCGCCCGAGCGCCGTATGCAGCTTAATCCATACGAAGACGGTTAAAACGTTGCGGTTCCATTGGAACCGAACCGCACAGAACCGCTGGCGTGGACTTAGTAACGTAAACAGCGTACCGTCCGGAGATCCTGGCAGTAGTTATATTGGAGCTTCACGGCGTCGATTGCGGTGGTGGCGCTGGCGGCCGCTTGGAGGGTGATGGTGAAAACCCGCGGTCGAGACAAAGTAGTGTGATGTCTAGTAAAGGGCCGTGCAGAAATTGCCGCTTTTGCAGGTGCAGTAGTTGAGCGGGGCTACCTGCCGCGTGATGGAGGCGTCACGGTTAATGTTGGCAGAAGAGTCGTCCATGTGTGATACCAGTGGCTTTTAGCAAAACATAGAATGAGTGGAGATTCTTAAATGGTTAGATCCTTAGAAACTGAAAACAAGTAGGTCAAAACGCGAGATGAAACACAGAAAAAATATAAAGCAGCTTAAACGTCTAGAAGCAAACAGCAAAGCAAACCAAGCAAACAAAGCGAAGCAAAGCAGACAGGTTGGTAATGTCAAAGCTATTTGATGGCAGTCGCAAATTATGGGATATTCGTAGGTACAACGACGACAAGTTTCGTGCGATGTAAGTACAATTCAGGAGAGAGTAACAAGGAACAAGAACAAGGGCAGCAAAGTGCATATTGCAGCGACCATTTACAGCAATAAAAACAGGGTATAGAAATGTGCCAACAAAGCAATAAAACGACCTACAGAAATATTTTAAATTTGTTTTTTGCAACTATTCACGCTTGATGCGATCGACCTGTGCATGATACAACATAGATGATTAGCAACATAGATGATGATGAACAAAAAAAGAAATTATTGATAATCAGGAAAATTACAATTAAAAGCGTGGACAGCTTTGGCCATAATGTCAAATCTGCACTTGGCATTCAGGCAAATTATATGCTATAACAAATAATTGTCTAAGGTCTTATCGAATATTATAATGGTAACATTCTCAAGTTTACATTTATTCAAAACGGAGAAATTCACAAAATTATTAGCTTATCAGTGCCTCACAGAATGAGTGAGGATTCTTAGTTCTGATAATTGTAATAAAAATTTGAAAACAAGTAGGTCACAAAGTGCGAGGCGTTCGAAAAAATATAAAAGAGCATAGGTCGAAGTTAGACATTTTATTTGTTGTCAGTCGCAAATTATTTCGGTATACTTATTATACTATAATTATTGTTGATATTTCGTGGACAGCGCGAATTGTCCCGGAACGCATAGTCGAGTTGACATTTTACCGACGAATACTGATTGGCCATTGCTAATCTGCCTGAAGACCGAAACTCTGGATAAAATCCTGCTGCGTCTGTTGACGAATCGGCCATCTACTCTCACTTTTCCGGCTGCCCCAAACTCAACGCACAAACCACAACCCAAGTAAATTCAAGCCCTATTGTTTTAAGATTTTTTTGTTTATGTCATAAATAGTACGTTGTACACTGTACAGCGTAGTGAGCGTACGCCACTTACTGTGGCGTACGTACAGTAAGTGGCGTACGTACAGCTATACGAAGTGCATCGTCTTCCACTGAACAAGTGAGCGCATATTAAAAAATTGCTCGGCCGCAATAATAAAGTGCTCGTACTCGTTGCTAAGCAGCGAGTACTGTATCAGCACCCAGCCGTAACTGATTTAAAGCATCTGTTTAGATTGATTCGAAGGTTCAAGATTTTTACTTAATAAACCGATGCAGATCGCTTCAAGCAGGTACCCGACACCCAGTCTATCTGTACGAATACGCCGCTCTACTATCGGATGTTTCCCATTTGCTGTTAGATGTTGTCCTCTTGGTGCGCCCTTTATAGAAAGATAATAATAATTATGCATTTGACTTTTCAGCAAGTATGCTTTCCAAGAAAGCCGATCAGTCGTGTTCAAGGTAAGGATTTATGAAAATCGTTATACAAATATCCGAAGGACCGAGTAGTAAGATAAAATTAATATGTTATAAAAGAGATGCATCAGGCTTGCAGTCTAAAAAAAATAAATTATCTTTTAAAATTATTTCCAAAAATTTAAAAAAAAACTTGGCGTGGAAGTATGCTGGTGAAAGCGTGGACCCAATGAAGGTTCACGCGTAGGAACAGAATTGACGGAATTCTGCCTACCAAAAAGCCTAGCAATGCTATAAATGCGCCTACGCTACGGAAAGCGAGAAACGGCGTGATTGCTAGGAATTTATGAACAGACTAAATTCGATAGAATTTCCTCATCGACAACTCCGCATTGCTGACTACAGCAAGCGTGGAAAATGCGCACGTAGCCGCCACACAGATGCGGGTGCGTGCAGAACACCATGTCTTCCGCCACGCGTAAGGCGGGCGTGCAACAAACACAACAGACTGCCAAAGCGAGGGTGTACGCATGTACGCCTGCGCTCACATGCCTCTGGGAGGAGGCTGAGCTCCGTCGAAGCAAATCCACGTCCAATTCCTTGGGATCCTTGACGGCTCGTCTGTGCGATTAATAAAACATCGAGATTTAATCTCCTTTTAACATCACAAATTCCAATTACATGTGTGAATAAAGAGATCTCGAAACAAAAGTAAAAACAGTAAAAAATATCAACAGAATTCATTATCAAAACGACTAGGATCCTCCGACTCCTAAGGGTCACTGGGTCCTGTCAACCGTAATCCGCTTTGGTCCATTCCGCTCTGTTGAGCAATCTTTTCATCACAATGAGAGATCCGCTTTAAGGAATAAGGTGCGTATCAAGTACGACTTTTTGCAATACTGATGCTTCCTCTTTGGATAATTCGCGTATCAAGTACGACTTCTGCAAAATGAGATTCTTCCTCGTAGACATGGAGGGACGTCTTGAAAGACAAGCTTGATGCTTCCTCCCTGGTAAGGTCATTCTCTTTTTCTCGATGACTCTCTTGAGCAGTGAAGTTCTCAAAGGTCATCCTTTCTTTTCTGATGTGCGATTCAATTGGGCAGTGACGATCCCAAAAGGTCATCCATTTTCCCTTCGTAAGTTCCATATTAAAGGTCATGGAGGAACTTAGCCGATTTTTGGCTTTCAAGCAATTCTGCTTGCCTCCCTTGTAAAGGTCATCCATCTTTTTCAACCATTTTCTTCTGTCGCACATCCTTTCCTTTCTTTTAGTGCCAATTGACGCGCACCTTTCTTCTTTTCCTTACCAGGTTCGAGGGCCGGTTAACGCCGTAACTCCTCTCTTCTGAGGCCGGTTGTCGCCGTAACCTCAACATCTGAAAGTTTTTACCCCTATTTTCTTGAACTCTTTCTCTTTTTCACCCTTGTGGCTTCTGACATTCCTTAAGAGTGTGCCGACTAGGTAGGCCGCAACTACACTCTAGAAGTGACGTTTAAATGTAATGAGGAAGGCCGGTTAACGCCGTTACTCTTCCTGCTTCGAGGGCCGGATGACCTCCGTAACTCCCCATATTAAAGATCACATTGATCCCTGCAACAAAGTTCTGCAAACAACAATACACAAACGGTATGACAATTCAATACGTTATGTCTCCTTCGCCCTAATACTGTACCTTCGTTACCATTCTCGTGCTGCCGACTGATGGCCGTAACTAGCACATCAGCGATGCCCTAAAGGTCATCACTGATCATTTGAACCATCGTCGCGGTTCCGATCGAAACGTCTTTGTTTTTCATTCTGATCAGACGTTCGATCTCGAGGTTCCATTCCCCTCTCTTGCAGCTCGTCTCCTTCGCTCCGGCTGCTAGCTACACTGTGCTGGTTTCGGTCACCTCTGCGCTGAATGCAAATCAAATGTTTTCTTGCGTAAACCATCCTTACTTTCTAAGTCCCGTGACCTTTCTCGTGGATGATTGGTTGACCTTTCGCCTACGCGTGACCTTTCTGATTCTCGTGACCTTTTTCGAGAATGATCGGATGACCTTTCGTAGACGTGTGACCTTTCATTTCTGTCGGCTGACCTTTCCAAGCCCGACTGATACGTTTCTCTCGGCGGTGATTTCGGTCGTTTGAACTCGTCTATCTTGAAATTTCTTTCGGTCTCCGTCATTTCGTTTTGCTGCATGAGGAACTTGCGCATGTTCTCAATTTTGTCCTCGATCAAAATTTTGATGACTTGCGACCATCGGCCTCCTTCCGTCAGGTTGACCTTTTCTTGCAGGAATATTGTATGTTCCTCTTTTGTTAGTGAGAGTGGATCCTTAAAGATGATGTCCAATTGCTGGATGAGTGATTCGCGTATAATCGCCTCCTGTACGTCTTGTTTCTTAAAAATCGCGTCCGAAACGGGTGCTGCAAGTCCCGCATGACCTTTAGCTGCATCGGCTAAACCCTTCTCTGCCGCAGCTTTCTTTCTTTCTTTCAAACGCTTTCTTCTGCTTCACGCTTTTCTTGCAATATTTGCTTTCTAAACGCATTCGCTTCCGCAGTTTTAGGAGGTTCAAGGGTGACGTCCCATCCAGGTCTGCGTCCTACCCACATTCGGTATTTATCCTCCAAAATCACTCTATCTTCGGGCGATAGTTTCAGCCACGTTTTTCTTCTGACCAGGTGTCGAAATACATCTAGGTTGCCTCTTTTTGCTTCCTGCGGAATTACCAGGAGTTGATTTGGCATCGGCACGGCGACCACGCATTCCCAACAAGGGAATCGTTCACCTGAAAGAATGTTGTTGCGCTTGCAATCCGGACAATCCTCGTTGTAATTTGTCAACGGGTCGCCGGTATCTTTTTTGATCGATGGTCTTTGTCCATTCTCTGCCTTCTGATGAGGTTGGCTCCGTTCAGCCATTCTGACCTTTCAACCTGCAATCTCAACAATTGTAAGTCCCGTGACCTTTCACTGATTTCATTTTCCAACGTCTATCTTTAGGCCTATGATAACAAGGCTATTCAGTGCTGAGCTGAAACTTTTCGCTGCTCTTTGATGATGACCTTTGTCATCCTTCTTTAGCTTAACCATTCTCAACTGTATGGGTGACCTTTCTCATCTTAGCCCATCGCTTAGCTCCCTTCATAATTCTACTCTTCTTCCAGTGTGGTTCGAAAGCAATTTGAGAACTACGGTCTGCTCATTTGCTTCTCCCTCTGACTGCTTTTTCTCGTGTGGTGGTCCTTCCTCCCACATTTTGCTCTTGCTGATGTATGGTGACCTTTCTCTGCTTCATTAGCACCATGACCTTTCAGTCCTCCTTTGCTTCTGAATGAGTGCTACGTCTTTTTCCATCAAAGTCTTCAAAGTAGGCGCTTCTTCTTCGTGCTTGAGCACAGGTGACCCTTCCCCCCGCTGCAATTTCTGCTGACCTTTAGCTGCCAGCTTTCCGGTTTAAGTCTGATGACTTTTTCTTCCAACGTTTTGGCTAAAGTCTGATGACCTTTCTGCCTCGATCGCTTTGTGAACCTTTTCTCCTTAACTGCTCAGTACCATTCTCTCATGAGCAACTTTCAGCGAAGTCAATAATTCCTTACTCTGTAACCTTGAGCTCGGGTGACCTTCCGCCCCGGCTGAGCTTCCCGCTGAATTCTGATGACCTTTAAGTGTTTCACTCGCTCTTTGATCCTTTCGTTCTCTTTCGTTTCGCGCCAATCGTTCATGAGCGATTTTCATTCAACGGCGTGATCGGAAATGACTTCGATTAGCGGGTTTATTTCTGATGACCTTTATGCCGTCCCATGTTCCGGTCATTATATCATAAACTCCAATAAGCCTGACTTTCGGGTTTATTTGTTTTCGTCCTTTAGTTATCCGATCAAGTAATGCTTTGTCGGCTTCATCTTCGTCTTGGACTTCTCCTCTCAGAATCTGTTCTGGAGTCGGCTTCGGAGTTTTCTTCGTTTTCTTGACCTTTCGCTTCTCAATTTCGTTCGCG